TTCAGTGTGAAATAGCAGAGCATTGCTCGGCGCATTCAGCTCATTGCACAGTTGCGAAAACAGTCGACTGTTTAAAGTGCTCGCCTTTGCTAAATTGACAACTTATGATGCTTTTCATTATTTCTTGTAACTCTTGTGGCAGCGTCTTCATTGCTAATATATCGATGAATCATACAGTGAGTTCCAATGACTTTTGGTGACTCATTCAGTACCAAGCACTGAAACCCAGATCGACATCCTAGCATAGCTGGAGCACCATCTGTGCAAACACCACAAACCTTTTCCCCAAGAAATCTTAGGCTCTTTCAGAAATAAACCAACTGTGTCAAATACATCATGTGCAGTAGTTGTTTCAAGAGGTTTGCAAAAAAGAAACTCATCTTTAAAGTCGCCATCATTAATATACCTCACGTAAACCAGTAACTGTGAACAGTTTGCAACATCTGTAGATTCATCAAGCTGGATGCTTAATATTGGAAGTGGAGCAGATTTAATTTCCTGGATTACCTGATCAAGAATATCAGCAGACATGTCATCTGGTCTTCTGTGGACAGTGTCATTAGAAAAGGAAATTGCACTCAATTTTGTAATAAATTCATCTCCGAAAACTCAAACAATCTTTGGCTGCTGGCAACAGTAAATCCTCAGCAATGGTGTGAGGTTTCATAGCTCTGGCGATTCTTAGAGCCACCAAATGTCCCCGGCCCGCAGGAACGTCAACGCAGACCCTGGAGGAGGGAGTGGGAATTGAAGGGAACAAGAGACACGAGAAATGGAGACAAGACAGTATTCTGATCAAGTCTCTCTTTATTGAGTGAAAGGTTGCAGCCTATATAGGCCAGGGGAAGGGAAACACCCATTGCACATGTAAATTAAGCCACTTTGGTAATAGACCAATCAAGGAGTCCAGGGGAGCGCACCCTCAGTAACGGTTTACAGTCTTCAACCAGGTCCGTGAAGTGAAGTCATTTTATGCAGGCACTAGATATGTAAATAGGGTGAAGACAATCTCCTACCCAATCAAGGGGAAGCAGGATATAGCTGCTTTGTCACACCATGTATGGAAACCCCCTTATCTGTTTCTAGGCAGACTTGAAGGCTAAACTCAGTCCGTCCCAAGGACAGGCTATTCAGAGGGGAGATAACAAAATTACAAAACTGTCATGTAGGCGGGAATGGAAAAGTACTGCAAGCTCTGACAAAATATAATGAAGATTGAGCCCAATGGCCCCGGACAACCAAATATGAAGCTTCAATGGCTGCTACATTTTGTTTGTGGTACTTGCCACCAGGGTCAAGTCTGGCTTTCTTGAGTCCACCAGCTTTGCTTCTAAAATAGTTGGTATCCTTGCCGGCAAAGCTCAGATCTTTGCTATCAAAATGGCGTTTTAGTTTGTTTGGCTTCATAGATTCGGCTGCTAGAACTTCACAACAAATAACACATTGCAGTTTCTCAATTCCTGCTGTAATTATTGAGGTAAAATCATACTGTAAAAAATCCTCACTATATTTTTTCTTAACGTTCTTCTCTACACTATCCATTGTCATGGGATGTTTGCTATTGAAAATAATATATAACAATAGCTTTAATAATACAAAAGCTGATACATGGCATAGGTCAATACAGTTCATTAACGTTTCCTATGATATACCATTCTGTTGGTTTTTTTTACATACCTGTTACTATCACAAGGGGGCAGTATTCACATCAACCACAGCTGAATATAAAAAGGCCGATCAGCATCCAGATTAAGTTCCCATGGTATATATATATATTTGCACTAGTTTATGATTTTACCATACATGATTTTACATTTACCCAGTAATTATAATTCGTGAAGTGTCATTTTACCTCCAATACTGCTACACAGTAGCTGCTCTCTACATGTGACTGGTCTGCATAAGTACATTATGGTGCCAATCCCGTCACATAAACGTGTATTGGCATGGGGTGTATGTAATGGGGTTGTCGCAACGATGTCATCATATTGGGTACTTGTATGTGGGCGTATCTGCATGTGGATGGACCTGCCTGGAGACAGAGGAGCGGTGTCTCGGTTCCTAAAACCATCAGAAATATGTGTTTTCCAATGGTCTTAGGCGACCCCCAAAGGGGTCGCAACCCACAGGTTGAGCATGGAGGAAATAAGCTTACTTGTGAGTTGAAGATTACTAATGTTGGAAGTTAGGTAAATAGGCTTCCTTGCCATTGTAATTATGTATATGTATAAAATATTCCCTAATAAAATATTTTATGTATCAAGGAAAATTAATAAAGACATTCTGAGAAGGTCCATGGTTTCAACAGCTTGCCAAAACAAGTTGTAGTACACACAGAAAGGATTTAAAACTCTGCATTCAAATTTCTGACCACTGTGTTTTGAGTTCATATTTTTGTTCACTCCCTTTGTCAACAGGAATTTCTCCTGTCAGTATCCTGGTTTATTGAGCGCAAGCCCTCTACTTGTCCTAGCTTGCACCATTAATTTGCTGTGGGTAGAATATATAAGCATCAGATTTTGGAGGAAAATCTTCAAAGAACTAGGCCATGAGAGACATACAGAATTTTCCCTAAAAGTCTATGGACTTTTGCACATGTTGCCAACGCAGAGATCTCTGATCTTTTTGTTACTTTTATATTGAAACACATTACTAGCTGGCAGTTGCCACTAATGTGCGATATTTTATGACACATTTAAATGTATAAAGAGCTAATAAAGATATATGAATCAACTATGTTTATACTTCTTCATTTTTTAAATCTATCCAGCCACTCAAAATAAGAGCTTCATAGAACTTTGGACTTGTTAAGAATCTCAGTACCCCAATGCTAGTTTTCTAGATAAAAAGCTTGGGCCTAAAGAAGCCTTTCCCAAGTTCTCTCAGAGCTCTTGTTTCTTAACTTCTGGTTCAGGACAGATGGATAAGATAGCTGCCATCAAGTGAACTCTTAACTCGTGGTGTCTCTATAAAACAACAGAAAGAAACACTGTTTGGTCCTACACCTTCCTCATAATTACTGGAAGGTTTCAGGTCATCATTTCAGGTACGAAGCCAATCTTTACCTTCAAGGGTCTTCTTATGGAGGATATACTCCATTCCACCACATATATTCTCCTCAAAGTGATCCCTCCTGATGTGATCCATAGGTTGTCATAACATATTTTTCAGAAATAAATTGCCAGGCCTTTCTTCTAAATCTTAGGTTGCTTGTCTGCTGAAACCACAGGTGACACTGCTGGGATTTGAAATACCAATGGCCTATACAGCTTCCAGCAAAACAATACACCAACTATCATAGTACAACAAACTTACAGGTGAGTGACTGCTTGTCGCGAATAGTAATGATTTTTCCTAATAGTCACAATACAATTTACATAGACAAAGGTTTTAATGCTGTTCTTGTTCTAACTCTGGTTAGACGTATGATCTTTGAAGACATATTCTTGTCCGTCTATCTATAAATGGAAATAGAACCAAATATACCTACTTCCTATATAATTTATAGTGAAGTTCTTAGAGGATGACAATGAGTGCATTATTGTTATTTTTGAAGCTGAGGTATAGGGTGATAGAAAATATTATTCAGTAAGGTATATAAAGAAAAGCTCCAGAGGGGCCAATTTGTAACAAGCTTTAATATAAAAAACCATGGTACATATCACTATTCTGGGTTAATAAAGGGGTATATTTATTCAATAAAGGATGCCTGAGTAAGACATAAATTAGATTTAGATGACATTTTAAATAGAAAAATAAAACATACTACTCCCCAACATGGATACTCCCGGGAGGTCACTCTCCCTGGGCTCTGTCCAGGTGGCATGGAGGACCACAGGGCTCAGCCCCATGATGTACAGTCCTTTTTCACGTCAGAGATCAAGCTGGGCCTTGAGTCTGCCTGCATATTCCTACAGCTTCTCAGAGTCCCGTGGACAATGACTGAGGAGACAAACCACGTGGGAAACAGCCCTCCACTACACCCCTCCTTTATTTAGGTTCTATTAAAGAAACACTTTTTAAAAAGGCACTACCCTCCTACTTTCTATATTAAAAAAATATGAAACTCAAATATTCTTAATTATATTGATTACAATTTGTGTGACCTTGAGGTAGTAGCTTAATCATTGTCTCAATTTCTTCATGTCCAAAATGAGGCTAATAAGTACAGTACCTGGTTCATTCAAGTATTCAAGAAATGTCACCTATATTTATTATAGGGATCCTTAGTTCAGTGGGTTAAGCACGGGGTTGCTAACCACAAATTCAATGTTCAAACCCACCAGTCGCTCTAAGGGAGAAAGACGAGGTTGTCTTCTCCTATACAGATTTGGTTTGGGAAACCCTAGGAAATGCTCTGCTGTCCACTAGGGTCGCTGCTTAGGAATCGACTTGATGGCAGTAGGCTTTATTTTTTTATATTAGAGTCCTTGGGTGGTGTAAACAGTTCATGTATTTGCCCCTCATCAAAAGACAAGAGATTCAAGAGTACTCACAGGAACCTCAGAAGAAAGGCCTGGTGACCTAGTTTAAATAGTCATTAAAAACCTTATAGAACATAGTTCTGCCCTGAAACATATGAGGTCATCTTGACGTAGTTGGCTGGCTGGCAATTATATCTTGGGTTTTGTGTGTTTTGCTGTTGTTAATACATATTTGCTTCCCAATATGGCCAGTTAATATTTGACTAGTTAATAATGTAATTGCACTGCATTTTCTCTTCTCACCCAGATCATGGCACTGGAACCACACAATAACCCTGTAAGGAAGAACAGCTATTGTTAGGTTTAGTTGAGTGTTCAAGGAAACGCTCTGAAGTAACTAGAGGAAGATCACGCAGGGAAGCAACAGGAAAGAACAAAAACAGGAATGTTCCCTCTACCTCCATGCCTAATCCTGAGCTTCTAAAGGGCTACAAGGAAAGAGAACCAATGAGAGATTATTCAAAGGAAAGGGTAGATGTATCCAGTATAGTAGGTAATCAACACTTTTGTGTCCTATAACTGACAATGTGTCCCACAGTATCTGAGAACTTTGTTACAAATACAGACATCCTCAGGCTCTATAACTGGCCTAATATAGCAAGGTTTTCAATTTGAATAAAAGCCCCAGGTGATTTGTATCAACATTAAGCAGTTGAGTTTATTGTTTTACTAAATGCTCTACCCTCTTGTATGGTCACTTAACCACGGATATATAAGACCACTTATCACTGACCTGTTAAGTTTTTGTTAGGCAATAATTTCCACAACACAGATTCCTTTGCTGTTTTTCTTAATAAAAATTACGCTTATTTTAAAAACAAGTATATTTTTCCATGAAAGTCTCAAGATTTCAATTTTGGTAAGTGGAGTCATGAAGGAATATTTTTAAAACGTTAAGCAGGTTAGGGCTTACCTGCCTTTAAATTGTCTTAAAAAAAAAAAAAAAAAAACCTTACTGCCTTTTAATGAAGCTTGCTGGTGCTCTGGGTTAGGGGGTGCTGCTGACCCAACATTGGCTGTTCCACTCCACCAGCTGTGAGAGAGAGGCTGTCCCCCAGATATGCTGTCTGGATAAACCCAAAAGAAGTCATTATGAATTGGGATCGATCCAAGACAGTGGGCTTGGATTTGGGGGTGTTTATAATCCTCTCTCATATCCTGCCCCCTCCAACTCCCATTATGTATTCTTGGAAGAAATACAGCCAGAATACTTTGGACATGTTGTCAGGAAAGACAAGTCCTTGGAGGAGGTGATCTTGATCGGTAAAGTAACGAGCCAGCCAAAAAAACGGAAGGACCTTTACCAGGTGAATTAGTAATGTGGCAGCAATGGGCTCAAGCATAAGAACAATTATGATGTCGGGGGAATGGGCAGTGATTTATCTTGTTGTACATAGGCTCGCTAAGTGTCGGAACCAAACCTACCGCGCCTAACAACTTAACATATTCCGGTAAATATTGAGGTTTTCTGACTCAAAGCTCGTCCACCTGTTTTGACTGGGTTTCGCCCCTTTCTGAAATTGCAGCCCCACTCCTGAGTTCTCCAGGAATGGAAACAGCAACAGGAAGACAGCGTGGCATTACAGTAGTGAGCCTGTTTCCACGTCCTAATGGATTCTAAGTTGGGCTAACTGTGGAAGCTGGTCCCTGTGCCTACTCAGTCAGGAAATCTCTAGTCAGAAAGGCACTCGATTTGCTCTCACGTAAAAGGTGATAGCGGTCGACCGGGTTCTATTTAAAATACGGGCTCCTATGATGTGCCTCCACCCACTGGTTAGCCGACTCAGACAGACGACTAATTTTGTTCACCTGCTGCACTCACAACCTCAAAAGCTCCGGTCTACCTCGACGAAAGGTACCTCTGGCACCTCCTAACGCGCATTCCTGAGAGGGCGCGCGGGTGCAGGATGTGTCAGCACGCGCTCTTACCAGTCCGGGGAATTCCATTTCCTCTCCCGCCCTCCAGCATAAGCACTGAGGGGCGGTGCTTCTCCGTCAGCGTCCCGCCCAACTTCGAGCCAGCCTCACTGCTTCTCGCGATAGTTTGCGGTTCGGGGGGCGGGCTCTTGTCAGGAAGAGCACACAAAACCGGTCCTAAGTCATTGCAGCGCTACAGTTCCACTAAGCCAGCCACGAGGTTCTCGCGAGATCCGCCGCCTCAATACCAAGTGAGGAAACGGGGATGCTGCTGGGAGGGGCGTAGGGATCGACCGCGCAGCTGCCGCTTCCTTTACCTTCCTCCCATGGTCTCCTTCCGGTTCTCGATGCTTCTCTTCGTCTGAGGGTTTCCGCCGCTCGTCTACCCTCCCCCAGCCCATGACCCGCCTCCGGCCCCCGCCCTCCCAGTCCCACCTCTGTTCCGTTTAGTAAGGAGGTGCCGTACGGGAAAGGAGAAGGAAAAGGGAGTGGCACAGAGACCCTCGACCCTGGACGTGGGAAGTAAACCGTCCCCCTTCACCCTTAGACTCGTCCTGTGCTCGCGACGGCGGCGTTGGCGGACTGATACGCGGCGGTGAAGAGGCAGGAGGAGGGGGGAGGGGCGGAGCGTGGCAGCTGGCAGTAGTTCCGTCAGAGCGGACATCTTGTGGCTGTGTCGCGCGCGTGAGCCCCGTAGGGCCGGGGAGGCACCAGCTGCCGCGCGGGAGGAGGCCGAGGCCGCAGCTCGAGGGAGGCCCCGGCCCCTCTGTACGCGTGGGTGTGGATGGCCAGGGGAAGGGAAGGGAGGCCGGCCCACTGGCCGCGGGCGAGGGGAGATACGGGCCCTAAGTGGGTTGAGTTGACCACCAGCCTGTTGGGTGGGGTGAGGTGAAAAGGCTGGCAGGGTCCGAGCCTCTTCCTGCCTCTCGCGCCGGAGCCGGAGCCTTAGGGGCAGTGCGGGCGCGTGGTGGCGGTGGCTGGGCGGGCGGCCGCGCACGGGCGCGCGCTGGAAGGCGGAGTGTACGGTGGCGTCAGGGGCGACACAGAATAGCCTAGCTGCGGGGACAGCAACACATACCAAGCCTCTTCCTTTATTTCCTTCCCCGCCCCGGCCGCACCTTTGAGCAGAAAACGAAAGAAGCCCGGCGTCTGTCCGGAGTCTCTTGCTTCCCCCTCCCCCCTTGCCTTCCTCTGCCCTAGTGACGCCGGCAGAGCGCCGACTAGGCCCCGGCTCCTCCTCTGCTGGGCTCCGGACCCTGCCCAGCACCCACCCCTTTCTCCTACGCCTCTTCCTCTCCCACCTGGGTCTCTTCCTCTCGAGAGGCCTGGAAGTCAGACCTGTAGCCACCCCACCTCTCCCCGTCACCCTCGCCGCCTCTTGGGGCCGAAGCACGGCATAGAGGCTGTTGGTGGCCTTGCCACCCCACCCACCCCGGATCGCGGCCGTTTTCAGGGACTTGGATTCATCAGGGTCTCTCCCGGGCCCGTGCGAGTGCTGATCTGCTTCGTTTTTGCAAAAGGCGCCTGTGACTGGCAGAGCCGGTGTGAGACGAAGAGACAATCCTTCCCCGCCCGCCGCCCGGATAATCAAAGAGTTTTGGCTGGACCTCCGAGCGCACACCGAGATAGTGCGGAGCCAGACGAAAAGCACGGACTATGGCGCTGAAACGGATTAATAAGGTAACCCCAGGGCCGGGGAGAACGGGGTGATGGGAAGAGAGCGTTGGGGTGGAGAAGTAGAATTCTGAAAATACCTATCTTCGGGTCGCATTGGGTGTACTTTGAGGGGGGAGGGGAATTGAGTTTGGGATGCAGGGCACATGCAAGTGTATTTCCATGGTGTCGGTGGAAATGGGGATGTAGGTGGACTGGGAAGCTGCTCTTTAAGGCACCTCAATTTTCTGCTGCTTACAGAAGAGTTCCGGGTGAGGATCGGGATTGCGGGGAGAAGCTTTGGCAGAAGCCATGGCGCTTCCTATTCTTGTGCTTGTGAACTTTTAGTTGTAAAACCAAGCTTCGCGGCCATCTGGGGGAAGATCCCAGAAACCTGGCCGAGTCTGATCCGAGCGAATCTAGACAGGAACTCTTCGCTGACGCTGGGCAGGTTACACCGGGTCCGTAGGGCCGGGAGGAGATGGGGTGACACAATGTTGCCACTTCCTCTGTTTTGTAGTTGCTGCTGTTCCTCCGAGGCGGTATGTCGGGGGCACGCAGGAACTGATGTGAGAGCCTGGATAGCTAGCTTCCTTTTCCTTTGGGTCTCTGAAGGGGATGGGGTGGGATGGCTGTACGGAAAAGCTAGAAGGTACCTATTTTTGCCCTCAAGCTATTTAATAACATCCTTGAATAAGGCCGTTTTGTTGTTGTCTCTACCCCCCCCCCCCAATCACCTAATCCGTGGTCTGATAGTAAAATATCACTCAGTTGTAAAAAAAAAAAAAAGGCTTTTCGAGGCTTGGGGACTGAGCGGAACCTCCTCCTCCGGTGGTTTAGTCTCATTTTCTTGCTCTAACTTCTATCCCGCATTTTAAGATGGCGGCGCTTTAACTGGTTCAGGCTCTTTCCGGCATCTCCTTTCGTAATAATATGAAATAATAAATCTTTGTTAAGTGGTAACTTTTACATTGCTGTAAGAAAGGGGCCCCCTGCCGGGATACTCAAACTCTGAACACCACCACCCCCTTTTTATTTTTATTTTTTTGCAACTTGTGTTCCTGTAGTGTTTGGTTCTTGCACAATCGCAGAGGGTGGAGTATTTACAGCTAACTTGAAAAAATATGCCATGGACTAAATGGAGCCTTACTAGAAACTAAGAGGCAAGGGATGTGGGTTAGGTAGATTTTGATAGGCTATTTTTTTTTTTCTTTCAAGAGTGTTATTTGGAAGGAATAGCAAGAACTTGATTTACTGAAGGGACTTAATTTTCATTTATTAAGTATGACCTTGATGTTTATTAGCCAAAACTGGCATTATATGGAAGGTGAAGCTTTAGATCATTCACTCTAATGTAGTGATGCTGAAACCTTGGAATTTTTTAGAGAAACATTGCATAGTCATTGTAGATTTCTGTGAATTCTAAACTAATGCTTGGGTGTTTTGAGAATCATCTCAAGGAATGGCGAGTAAGAAAAAACTTTGATGACCACTCTGTTAATCAGGCCTAACTTTTGAAGGCCCACAACACATGGAAAAGTGTTGTTCTATAAAATGATGTGAAAGTTCTGGAGGCAATATAAAATGTAATGTTAATTCTGTGAATACTGGAGCCAGAATACATAAGTTAGCATTTTAGCTGTACAACTTTAACTTGTTACCTGACTGTCCCCCGTAACTATTGGGGGGAGGTGTTATAGAATACAGATACTTGAGACAATAACACTTTCCACATTGCGAAAATAAGTGTATGTGGAACAGTATTGTTTAACCTGTACACAATTTTGCAAGTGCATCTGTTTCGGTTTTCAGCTGTTGTCAGAATCACATGGGGAAGCTTTTTAAAAATACATCCCAGATCCAAACAATTTTAGTGAGTGGACAGTGAGGAAAGCAGGATGCTTTTTAGACCCCTTTGTTAAATAAATAACCCTGATGATTACAGTGGTTAAGTTAAAGCTCATGACTGGTGACCACAGTAAGGTTATAGACCTACCTGCTGACCCATGGGAGAGATATGTAGTCTGTCTCCTTTCATAAAGATTATAACCTTGGAGACCCTAGAGGGTGGTTCTACTCTGTCCTGTAGTGTTGCTTCTGAGTTGGAAATGACTTGGTGACAATGGATTTGGTTTGAGTATAAAATATGACGTAAAATGGGCATTGATGCCAATGTGATGTTTCTTGTCAAGTGTATTTTGTTTGAATTCATTCTGTTCTGAAGCCTTCAAATTTTAAATACAATTATTCCTCGGTAATCTCTTGAAATGCTTGTTGGAATAACTACCTGTCTTAAAGTCATTTGTTTAACAAGCCTTTGAATTTGTTTCAGCTGTGTTCTTATGGTCTAGTTTGAATATTTCTTAGACCAAGCTGCTTTAGGAAACAACCTGCCTTTATTTTGTTTTTTTCTCCCCCTGTATTATTTGGAAATCGGTAATAACATTCTTAAAGGGCTTGTAATCAAAAGCTGATTGGTGCTGTTTGAAGGCCATTGACAATTTTGCTACCATTTGCATTTTTAACAAAATAAATATAGATGAGGGCCTTCAAAATTTTCTCTGGACAAATGATGGAATTTTTCCAGGTACTCTTTGACGACCTCCCTCTTACACTTTTGTATTTAAGGTATAAATACACACAATGCAGTAATGATAATTTAGGAGAACTTTGCAGAGAACTTATGTAATATTAAGTGTTAATAATTTTAATATGTCAATGCTGTTTGAAGTCTTTCTATTTGCTCGTTTAACCTTTTAACACCAACCTAGGAAGTAGTTAGTACTATTTTGATTTTTGAGATTAGAAAACTGAGGAGGTACACAGAGCCTAAAAACTCATGTCAGAGTTGTGATTAGAACCCAGGCAATCTGACTAGAATCTTTCCATTCATATTATCCTTTATTTTGCATATATAATTGCTGCCAATAATGTATTTGTTGCATATCAGGGACTATTTCTAATCCCCTTTCTAGTATTAGCTCATTTAACCTTCCAACAACCCTGTGAGCGCCACTGAATCCCATTTTAAGGAAATGGTGACACAAAGAGGCTAGCTAGAGTTGAGTTCAAGCTCCATGCTTTTCTGCTATTTTGAATCATTTCCCATGCCTTTTTAAAAGTTGAATAGGTGTGGTTTTCATTATTGCTACCTGAAATTAGATTAAACCTCCCCCCCACCCCCCATTTCACATTTAAATACGTAATTGGGATTTAGTCTTGGACTAGGGGTGGGCTGTGAGTTGTGCTGCTAGTGGGAGGTCTGTAGTTTCTTGGATCATGAGTTTCTCCCAGAGGTTGGGCCATCGATTCCTGTTACAGTTTTGTCTTGGAAACCCATGGGGTAGTTCTGCGCTGTCCTGCACAGTTGAGACAAGTTGGAGTCTACTCGATGGCCTTGAATTGGATAGTGGATCCTCACTCTTCTAGTTGGTAAATTGATTTAAGCTAACATGTTTTGGAAGTCGTTAAATTGTTTCTGGGTATTCTCCTCTAGGGCAGTAGGGGCATCTTAGCTGGGTTGGAGGGACATTTCTCTCAGTAGGAATGGATAGACTGTTTCTTACTTTCAGGCTTCCTTTGTTTTCAGTCTTTAGTAGCTTACCAACTTGCTGTGTATGACAGGACATTGGTCATATAATTACCTCACATTTTAATTTGAATAATGGTGACTTATTTTGACACTACTCTTGCTCATTTGTTATCTAGTGCTTAAGAATGTAAAGTTGAATACTTTTGCTAGCACAAGAAAAGATTTCTTTTGTAACAAGATTAATCTTTCAAGTTTCTATATTAATAATAGCTTAAAGATACTGTCAGTTCTTGAAAAGTCTTCAAAGTGTTAACTATAGTGATCCCATTCTATTAAAGAAAAAATTGACCTTCCTAACACGGGGGTAAAAACGTCTCCAATAAAATTTTGAACCCAGAATTCTAGATTGGCCTTAGCATTCTTTTGTTTAGTAGTATTTTCTGTTCATTAATGTATATATAATTTGAGATGACTATTAATCAGTGAGTTTATATACCAGAATGTTCAGAAATTTTTTTAAAGTACAGGTACACATAGGTGGTCTTAACAGACTTAATCATTGCTGGGAACAGGCATAATTTTGAAATGTTCCCTTTATCAAGCCCATCCTGGGAGCTGGATAAGACCTACAGGTGTATACAGCAGTGATTTAATTGATATTTACTGAAGTCCTACCCTTAGGACATTAGTCCCAGAGTATTAAAAAAAAAAATCGCAGTGAAACCATTTATTTAAACCAGATTAGGTGAAAATTGATGTCCGTTCAGCAGCTTTGCTTACTATTGTTAAAGACTACAATCTGTTTAAATGTTTGCCTGTGCTACACTTAGTCATTGTTACAAGTGTAATTTATCTTTGATTTTTCTCACAGTTTAAAGTAAGCACAATTCAACGATATTCTTTACCTGGATATTTTTTGCTCTTGATTTAGTTTTGCTAACAGCAGTAATATTTTAAAATTGAATGGTGTCAATAATAGCAGGTATATTTAGGCAGTATTTTATTAGCCATATTCCCTCTTCAAATACGATTTATCCTCAGTTTTATTATGAGAGAAGGAAGAAACCCATTGTTTAAAATATTTTTATAGTTGACTCAAACTACAGATTGTATTATGTGTTTATACCCATGACATTATATATATTAGGAACCTTTGATCCAACTTTTTATAGGTAAACTTATCGTATTTGAAAACTTAATAAGGATCTCTGCTGTGAATAACTATATTGTTACTTATTTATTTTCAAGATGTAATGCTTTGATGTTTTCTTCCACTGAGATATATTAATGCTCCCGGTCACCCCTCATTATATAAATTATTTGCCTCCATAGATAAAACTGAGAACCTAAGTTTTTCTTTCTGACATTGTTTATTTCAGATAATGTTGACAGAACATTTTATAGTGATCTAAAAAAATGTAGTATTCATTCACACCATTCTTGGTACCTTGCTAATGAACAAGCATACTTAATCTCTCATATAATTACAATTAAA